CTGGTTAAATTTTTCGATAGATATGCAATGAGTAAAGGATGGCAAAATTTTACGGAAGGCAATTATTTACGGCGGTCCTAATGGGTTAAAGGAGCAGTCAGCGATTTCTTTCTCTTCCAGCGCACCAATCAGGAGGAGTTGGCCTGATCTACGATTTAAAACGGACACTGACGAGTAACAATGGCGATCATATTGTTGAGTATATTCCATTCTATGGTGAATAAAGAGCTAAAGCAAAAAAGTGGTAAACGGCTCAGGACTTTCTCACCATCCTAATATTAGGTTGTCGGAAAACTCTTTGCGCATTTGTTGTCTTTTTTTCGAAACTATTTTTCTTCTTCATACGTCAATCAAGTGTTCGAATGCTGTAACCATGACAATCGCTGAAAGATTGACCATTTCAGCAGTACACTTTCTGTTTACAGTGGGTTAGATCTGAGCGGTTTGAGGACGAAAAACTAGACCAAAGTCCCGTCGGGTATGTTTCGGACTATCGAACTATCTACTCTTCGCTTGCTTTGATTGCAGCAAGAGGCTTTATGGTAGGCTGTCTTTTGGGGTTGCTAAACACAACAGGTGGGTCAGATCGTCTCATAAGGAGCTTAGAGGCTTTTGCTGGATCTTCTTCGTAATTCATCGACGAGAGTTGCAGAGAGAAAGTGAACTTTGCCAGGTTTTTCATAGGCTATTCCAGCGAACTGATCAACCTGCCAAATTTAATGCTTTCCAATAGCAGTGCGGTTCGTCGACAGAATTTCTCCGTGAGCAAAGCGCTTGCAGCCTCACGAGCTCTCAAGGTTGCCTCCCAGGTTGCGGTTCTGGAATCAGCGTTGCAGTCCTTTGTTCTACGCACCAGCAAATGTATCGGGTCAAATGAAAGACAGGCGCTAAATCAAAATTTTCATGCAAATCTGAGCAACGAAGGCAGTCGTTGCACAACACGAATCTCGTTTGCTTAATTCCTGTTCCCTTTTGATATTAGAAGGACGGCACTTCTTGATAACCTAAAAAGCTCTGCAGCTCCGTAATGCACCGGAACCCTTCAATCGACTTCGATATATATTCATTAGTGTGACAGGCAACCTTTTGTGATTTGTCAGACATCTAGACATCGGTAAGCAAACATTGCCATAATCTTAAAGGCAAACCCCGGGCAGGAACTGTTGCGAAAGATCGGTTTATGATGTACGTTTGAGCGCAAGTTGGACCAGAAATGAAAAAGAAAGCGGGAAAAAAGTCCCAAGTAAGTTCTTATTAAGGTTCCGTAAACTTTCAGCATCAATTCGCCCTAGGATGGAGATGGTTGTAAGTGGACGAGTTTCCCAGACATGCCGATCACTGGTGGCACCGTGCCGACAATCAGCCAGCTGATTTCTGCGGCTGGTTTTTCTTTTGTTTTTTCTTGAAATGTTCTAATCACTGTGTTTTATTTTTTATTTACTATAGCATGTAACATTATTGATGTGCGTCTGGTACGAAACGGAAGTTTCGTCGTAGAGTACCGGAGATGGAAGTTGCTTTTCCTCTGTTTTTATTTTTCCTTTATGTTTTACAGCATCAGATGTTCGTTACCTTCCGACGCTGTCGGTTCTAGTTGTACTAATTTGATGTATGTTGGCTATTCTAATCTTTTCTTGTAGGCAGCGGGATGGTAATGTCGGAGTTTTCCCGTTGAGAAGTTTGCGAGCAGACTTATTCTGTTTATCAGAACATTCATTTCAGTAGTTACCATGTATTGATGTAAGTTTCTTGTCTGCAGTCAATTTGATTGTGAGAAATCTAGAAATCGCCTGGTTTTGTTCATAATTCAGTCCTGCTTTTAGCATTTTTGGAAGGCGAATTTTCTTGGCACTTGGTTGGTGGAAGTTGGTGATCCCGTGCTTAGACCCAACATTGAAAGTGGTCGAGCTCCATGGTATGCCAGGCCATGTCATCGATTTTTCAAAATTTCCCCGGATTTGTATGAAGCTGTGAAGTTAAGTGGAATACCATAAGAGGTATTGTTACCTATGTGTTGCGAGGTATATCAAAAGTGAATTTGTGCGGGGTAGTAGACCTCCTGCTCGTAGCGACACCGAACATTTCACAGGGGAATCCTCTACACTTGTAGGCTAATCCGGTGTTTTGACTTTAAAGTTATTGGAGATCCTCACGACAATGGCTCTTGCTGATTGCTCATCAACTGCACTTTAGTGTGCAATATAAAGCGAGGCACGTCGAACATACCTCCAGAAAGAGACTATTTTCTCAGCTTCAAACACTGCGAATATGCTACGACAGAAATGCTGTGGAGAGAGCATGACCACTGTTCACATACGTTTTACCGTGAATGTTTCGAAACGATCCCAAAAGATTTTACAAGATGAAGAAGAAAATGCGCAAAGACTTTTCCGCTAACCTAATATTATATTTCCTCATTGAATTTGCCCAGCGATGACTTGAAGTGGATAGCTCGAGCCAAATTGATTGAACGATTAGGAGTAAAGATGAATGGGCTAGGTAATCAACATGACATACATGACTGTCGTATAATGAAGTGAAGGTTTCCGAAATACATAATTTGAAGTATGGTATGACAGTAATTCTCACGCAACTTCCTCTATTCTCAAAGGGCTTACTTGGTGTGTCGTTTGTCTGTGTATGATAAGTCAGCTAAATGGAATGGAATAAACAAGCTCCTAAGAAATCTGGGTAGCTCGCAGGGTTTAGCTGTCGATGTTTTGCAGTAGGATAATTGTGACAACACTCCTATGGCTACATCAACACCTAATGAACACTTCCGGTCATTCCGCATGGAGAGCGGAGAGGCCGAGCAGGGTCTGTCCTATCGTTGTTACTTTTCGAAAAATTTTTACGACCCCCCTCCCCCAACGTGGATTTGATACGACCCCCTTTCCTACCTCCACCATCTCCATCTTCCATCAAAACCCCGCCCACTTTTCCTCCAAAAATGCCGTCGAGCGGGGGGATAGTCACTCTGAAACGGTAAATATCTCCCAAAATTTCCTTCTACTTCCACCATTTCAATCCATTTTTACCTATACTCCCGCTACCTCCTTTTCTATGGGGTATATACGCGCGCTGAAACAGCAAATTTTGCGTCTCACTGGTCAGCCTACTACCCACGAAATCTTAGTTTTACCTCAATCCCACACGTGATTTCAAGCGACTAAAGTGTGTACGACCCCCCCCCTCCAAGCTAAACCAAGTACGACCCCCCGTTGGTACTTGTACCAACGTAGGGTTGACCTGCCGGAGGACAGTGAGAGGGTGAAGGGGTAAGCGAGGTGGAGAAATTCCCCCCAGCGTCACGTTATGATTATAAGCGATGAACTCGCGATATGAAACGTTCCTGTAGCATCGCTAGTCACTTAGCGAACGTGTTGGTTAAGGGCCCACAGCGATAGTGAGTAAAGTTTTACGCGAGGGCAATGAAGGGTCCCGGCGATTGAGGGGGGATAATCTTGTCAACAAACGCAGTATGATGACGCTTTTAGCAAGTACTACATACAGTTAGAGTCAAATCATTTGAGCTTCAAATATAGTTGTACTTCATAGATGCTTGAGATTCTTGCCTCACTAATGGTTAATTAAAAATCACCAACACAAATGAGTAACCAAAGCTGTTGACTAGAGAAAGCGCCCGGCTGTTGGAGATCTCATTCTGCGTTACTCTCTTTTGCCCCCAGTTGAATCATGCTAGACCATTCAGTTGAACTACAATCAATTATAATAATCATTTGCCGGTTATGTGAGGGATCTTTGTGCAGTGCTACAAGCATGCTGAAGAATTCAGATAGAACATTGCAACTGTACACAACACAGTAGATAATCTATTATAATTATATAGGATTTCAAAGGTACAACATATGCAATTGTTACACACACTCAATGCGTTTTCACAAACGGGCAGGCACTCCCCTCATCGTAAATTCGGACTGTCACACCGGAAAGCACCGTAAACTCCATGAAACAGAACCGTCAAGATAGCTAGCGGTGACTGGTTCGCCGGTGTGACGCACCGCTTAAACATATGAAAAACGGAAGCAAATCACGAGTTTCGAGAGACGTTATAAATAATATACAAATTTTCTATCATGATCATAATAGTTATCAAAGTCGCGCGAGCGGATCATCACGTATACACAAAAACAAAGTAGTACGAAGTCTGAAATTGCGCAAATGGTATTCGGTAGATGAGTAGTAGATGTTAGTACCAGAGAATTACAGGTTAGAAGACAAATGTGCATAAAATACAAACAAAGTAAAAATTTGCAAATAAGAAAGAATCACACAACAATTGTTATCATGAAGAATAAAACCACGAGAAAAGTATCAATATTAAAATTTATAAATTGACAAAGGTGTACGAGACCAACACGACTATGGACAAGAGAACACAACGACTGAGAATGACAAAATTTCAAAAGGCTGTGAAATGGTGAAAAAGGGGAGGAGGTGATGCGTGATTGGTGGGTGGTTTGATGAATGGTAATAGTAATTTTATGGGAATAGCATAGTATAGGGTAGTGATCATGTCATAATCGTCAACTTAACTGCAACTCTAAGCCCTAAATTGTGACCTAAAATCGCGTAAAATGAGGTAGATGACGGGGAGACTTGTTGTCCCCCTAACTATATCAAATAAGGAAAAGCCGAAATATGCCATCTATGTACAAAATAGTAAAGTATTTGATTAACAAAGTAAAACGAAACACGCGAGAAGATCAAAAAGCAGAAACAACCACACTTGTATAACACTACGCGATTCCTTAAACGCTCGCGTCAACTTATTTATAAAGGGAATCTCCTATCCTATAAACTACGGAGCGGTCACCGTTCAGCGGCGTCCGTCTCCTCACTCAACACTTAAGACAGCACGAAATACATCTCTCACTACAAATAAGATAGGACAACAGACGATTAACTGAAGGAAACATAAAAGCCAGCTCACATAAGGTCAAAGGGCCGTATGCACCGGTGGCATGACTAATGCGTTGCTAATTCATCCATTTCACACAATTTGGCGCTCCACATAAACAGGGAATCTTGTCTGTAGTATCTTCCAACTCGAATTGGTAATCGTATGTTAGCTGAAAGATGAAACAAATTAAATTTACGAAAAATCAAAACAAGATGAGCACCTCACAACCAACAAAAAAAAGACATTAAACGGAAGACCGAGAAGTTTTGAAATCTCACCTCTTCCAGCGCCTTTATCGGGCGATTTGCAGTAATAATATTTCTGTCTTCATGGTTACGGCCCTGCAGCAGTTATTCGAGAGTCGAAACAATTGGATCGTAAGAGTGATTGAAATGATCCTATATACGAGAGTTACTGACTTTTCACAGCAAAAAAAATAAATAAGCGGGAAAAGTTAAAATATCACATATTAACAAAATATATTAGCAAGAGAGGAGGTAACATGGGTAATGACGAAGTAATATGATAACATATCGAACCGTGCTGGACCACCGGCCATTGTCGCATCGACAAGCAAGTCCTCATCGATACGAACATGTACACGCCACGATTTTGCGCTACGTATCGCTTTTCACGCATCTCTCCCACTTCACTCCTTATCACTTCTCCCTAAATATGAGATTTTTTTCTGAAAACTTAAATGGTACGTAGACGTAGTAGAAGATAATAAAGCTGCACAAATCGCTTAAAAATAAAAAAATCGGGTAAACAGAAATGATTAGCGGGTGACAACCTTATACTCGATGATCATATCGCCCATATGAATGTCGCGCTTTGCATAAAGTCCAAGCCCTTGAATTTTCGACCGAGCCAAATACACGGTTTGACGCCAATCCTTTCGCATTTTTTGATAAAGAGTGTAGCTTTGAGAGTTGCTGCCTGTGAAATGGTTCCGAGCCAACCGGAACGCCGTGTAATACAAAATTTGCGTGAATGACCGAGCTAAACAAGATCAGCACGCATTTTTCTCAGAAACGCTCCATTTTTTTCAATAATCCAACATGTAGAGTTATGTATTGAGGTAAGCTGAGCGTCAACAAAACATTAACTGTTGAACTTACTAAGGCCCACTCAGATCCAAGACGGAAGTTAGCAAGTGGCGATTTGAGCGGGCTAGCTAGTACATCAGTAAAACGAGTTCAAGTCGCGATGCGCTCGGGTTCTCCATGCTTGAACAGGCGTCTTGCGTAGAGCGACTGAAAATTGAAAAGAGCTTATCAAAAGAACTGAAAATGGCGCAAACGATTGGAGGTCTAAAAGACGTAAAATAGAGATAATATTAATCGATCAAAGATTCACCTTGTTGAAGGCGCACTGGCAAGTGCACGTTGTTTATGCTTGATGAGAGTGCGAAATCTCTGGCTCACAGCGAGCGCAACCCGAAGGATTCACAGCAAGTGGTAAATCAGAAGTGGACTGTTTGGATGGCGGAACGTATACGTGAATAATCCGTCAACACCAGGAACTGGGAAGTCAAATTTATCACATACCATTCCCTTCTTCACAAACAAAAGGTAAAAAGCCAGAGAACAATATGTGTTTCGCAAGATACGCGACGAGAGAGGTCGAAAATGTGGTTTCGGAAGGGAAGAGGCCGTATTTGGTAGAATGAAAGGGGTGGCACTGTATTTATCGGGCGATATGAAATCGTGAGATTTGGGCAAAGGGCGTAATCAGAAATTCTACGCGACACCGTGCTTGACCTGAAAGAAGTGGGCCCACTGAGAAACTGACAAAAATATGAACAGAGGGGCTTTAGGGATGTTATAATTAACAATTTAGTGCAAAGAAAAACAGCACACATATGGTCAGCTTTCCATAACAATTATTCAGAGTCTGCCTGCCAACATTACCCGATTCGTGATTTTTGCTGATCCGATTCGTTCAAAACAAACAAATGTTTCTCGTGATTCCATCGCCAAATCGTAAAGCATCGGTTTGCGACCGTAACCGCTCGACTGCGTTAATCACTTGTGACCAAGCTTCTGGAAAGCGTCGGGCATTTTCTTACCGGTAGTGCAAAAAAAACCTAAGGCCAATAGATAGCAATGCAGAAACATACCAGTATGCGATCTCCTTCGTACGTGTGACCCTCGTGAGAAACGACAAATTTGGACGATGATCAACATCTTTGATGTGACAATTGTAGATCTCTCGCTTTCTCGCATCAGTGGGCGACCAAAACCATCGAGACACATGGTATCCATTCTGCAAGAAATACATGAATTACAAAAACACAACTACCTCTATTTACAAACTTACTGGGAATATGTGCGTGGCGTTGTGGAATGTCTTCAGCTGTTCTGGGAGAAGCTGTCCAACTTGGAAGAAACATAAGGCACCAATTCGTAGACAGAGCCGCGCGCATGAGTCAGAATAATCGAAGAGTCGTGACAAGAAGGCGTTCTCATCCCTTTCAATATATATTCGTCGGAGCGCCTCCAATGAAGTAACCATGACATCAGGACTGATTTCTGGATGTTTCGTGCAGAAGAAGGTCTGGAAACACTGTTAACCAGGAATACGGAAAGGGAAAAGTGCAACATCATTATGACAGGCGTTTCAGCGTAGTACACACTCCGTTTTCTTTATGAGCTGCAAATTATTTCCCTTCTGTCTCTTGTCTTTCTGTCCCTTAAATATTCTCTGAGCGCAAAGAGACTACAAATATCAAGTTCATTTCAAATCAAGACTACAAATTTGAACGAGTAGAAAAATTCTAGAGTTATAACGATAAAGTATTCCTTCCCATTCTTTTCTATGAAACACATTGAAAAATTGTGTTTTACCCCCCCCCCTGAATGCTTTAGTCTATGGGGACTGTTTCGAAGTTGGAAATGATGTCTGCGGTAGGTCGCACTGATCCTTGACTTTCCAGGCTCTGACGAAGGCGACCAAGCCGAAACGTTAGCCAAATAAAGTCCTCCTGTATCATCTTGGCCGTGGCTGGAAAACAATCTCAAAAAAGCATGTAATTATCTTAACATTCACACTGGACCCTGATCACGACTTGAATTATAGGACATGTCACACTAGTTACAAAAAATTAAAAGCAAACACATGGTTATTCCTTCTATAAAAACACGAAAAGTAATGTTAGGAGTGGCTCAAGTTCTTCACTACTTTTACAACTTGCTAATAATTTTGAAGACGAACCTTGTCCTTGACGAATTTCGCTGTCTGAATTTTCGCAGCACATGGAAGATGGAAGTTAACGTTGCAATCCACTTTATGGCACTGTACGCTAGCGCCAACTCTCCCACACAGATGACAAATAACACCAGCGGCACGAACAATTGCACGATCCACATGAAGTAACGCTCCAGATGTCGTTTCAAACACCTGAAAAACAACTTACTCATCAAATATTAACTCACTTGCTGAACAAGCAACAGAATCAAGCAAACCCGTGAAGACAAGGCAACGTATTTCAAAGTAGAATGAACACACGACAACAAAGTAGTGATAGCAATCAAGAACGTTGTATTTACCTCTGTGCTCCACATGGCACAATTCACATGTACCCAAAGGTTAGCGCTCAGATTGAGTAGTCGCCCGCAAAGCGCTGGATCACCATCACCAATGCCACCACAGAGTACGCATACACGTCGATCGAGTTCGAAAGATGTTCCCAAACCAACACCCATCTTTGGCGACAGAGCCAGCTCCTGAAAATAATAGCGAGCTAATGGAAGGTTTCTCAAAACGCTCTTAGACTTCATATTTCTGTTGAGGACAGTGAGCAAAAGATAGTTAGGATATCCAAGACCAATATTGGCTATATCGTTCATACAAAGGCAACAAAATTTCAGCTTCAGTGCTTATCTAACGCGATTGGCTCCTTATGGTAAACTCTCTTACAACTTTTATCAAACTTCTCACCTGTTTGGTTTGCTGAATTTTGAAGAAAGAGTGCAGCAGCTCGCGACTATACGCCTTCCAATCATCTCCCGGAGATCTAGTAGTATCTTTCCGTTGAGCTGCATCTTGGATTGTTGCTAGGTCAGCAACTCGTATGATCTGAAACTAAACAGCAACATGGTTCATGAATACTGGAAAGAAAAAGGCTATGTCAAACCTGGACGTTGTCTCGTCGACCCTCATCCATGACATATCGGGTATCACGAGGAGATGTCAAGAACGCATCGGGAGGCACCGCCGGAGCAGCAGGGAGATCCATCCGCATCTAAAATGATGATTCGGGATGTATGATTGAAAAATCAAATTGAAATTTCAACAAACTACTATAACTTTGTTCTGCGAAGATCAATACAATACAATTAACAGAAACGGTCAGCACCTTTCCCTGGTTTATGCACTTAGCAAAACTTTCAGCACTTATTTGCCGCAGCTTTGCGAGCGTTTCCTCATCAACGTGGGACTCGGCAGCTGTAAGCTGGTCGGGTGACAACGCCACCTGAATATTTTTTCTCATTATACATACCAGGTCAATGGAAATATGCCACGCATTTCTACTGAAATTTTCGTCACTCAAAGGATTACGCTGATTGGTCTTGGAATAGGTAAAAATGCTGCTATCTCTGAGCTTCATTTAATATTGCGTTCAATCAATATGCTCTTAAGGACGGCGGTCTTATACTTATTGGTGAGCTTTCGGCAATAATGCCATCATCAGACCAACCTTAAATTGCAATAATTACAGGGCAACAACAACGAACCAAAAAAAAACGAAACACCGATACATACCAGAAAATGAGAAGAATCAAGGGACCTATCGGGATGCTCACGAATGAAAATAAAGCGCCCCTTGGATTCCCAATTTCGTTCTCGAGTCACCCAGGTAGTCCAAATCCAAACATCGATCACTAACCACCGAAAGTTCACCAATAAATATGAGACCAAGAGCTTCAAGAGCATAGATAGTGAGCAAACCATCTCGAAATAGACAAAAGCAGTGAAATCTAATAAGCAAACCTTGCTTGCAGCAACGAACTGGTAGTAGCACTTCATTGAACAGAAACAAACGGTATCGTCCTTCTGAAGAAAAACCACAATGCAAATTTCACATGAAAAAAAGGTTATAAGCAAAGAGTAAAACTTCAAACACCGCCCAAACCTCGTCATCGCTCGGTGTCAACCCTAGCTGGCTCATTGTTTGTTGTATAAGCACAGCTTCCATGCTACGATCACAGGCGCGGCATCTTCCACCAGTGGTAGAATTTTGGGTAGCATCCGGAGGTTCGCGCTTGACGTTGTCTACACATTCGGCTAAAACGGATTGAATTTGTAACAGAGACAAAGTCGATTTGAGAACTATCGAAAGTCTCAAGGATCAGTCTCATTCCTTCTTGTTCGAGAAGAGCTAAATTTTAGGAGGAAAGCCAAGAGGAAGTGTCACTCAACTACGGGGAATGGTTCAAAAATCTAATCTTCGTGGAAGGACTCCCTTCCATGTCGACCAGTCTTTTCTAAAGAAGCTTGAAGGCATCGTTTAAAAAAAAGAAATACGCAACAGTGAAATCTTTTTTCTTCCTCCTGAACCTCATAAAGCTCACTATCTCCTTCTAAACTCCTACATCCGTACCTATTCTTACGCAAATATTGATAAAATTTTTCCGCAACCCAGTCCATGCACAACGGTCCGAATACTCACATTTTGTGGACGGCTCTGGTGAGAGAGGTGGTGTATCCAACTGATACTCAATCGGTTGTTCAACACCGAGAATTGATCTCAGCTGTTCGAATAATGCAGCTACACCTGTGCCTGGTGGGAGCGATGTTTCCTCTTTCACAACCAGCGACACTTCTACCTCTTCAACAGTCTCTGGTTTCTGTAATATGTGCAATGATATTCTGCTTCAGTTTGCAACAGATACTTTTGTAAAGTCAACCGAGATACGTCCCATACCACAAGAAGGTTGAATTATAAATAAAACTTTGCCCCGAGCGGGACACGAACCCAGTATTGTGAAACATTCCCAACGCAAATTGCGGCGTTGAAACAGCAATTAATATACAAATCGAGATGCACTGCACACTGGGCAGCTTGTAGCGCAAGCGAGAGATGCGGGTTAGACTGCCGTCCGCCGGGGGAGTTTTGTTCATAACCCAGATTTTTGTGAGAGAAGTCATTAATTCATTAAAAACAACGAAATGGAGATTTCCTGAATTTTCCGTGAAACAAAAGGCCACAATTGGCTCATTTCAGCAGCAAAAAAAGGTATGTATCAAGACACTGACCATGCTGAAGACCTTCCTGCGTGGTTCGAGTGGAATTGTAAACTCCGGGATTTTGCTTGCAACGCGCATATGACTCGCACACGACTGGCGATCAAGAGAATTAGCAAACACCGTCCATTGGTCAAATGAACCAAATGCTGCATCTTCAGAGTCCACTACCATCTCGTAAATTGGTGGTGGTGGTAAACTAAAACGCGGAACATTAGCATCTACTATCAAATCCAACAATGACAGAGAATTGGGTCGTACTTTGTGAGAGCTGGTAGGTTAGCTTGTGGAGCGAGATCGGACATCGAAAGGCTTAGCATTTCTAGGCATTCCGTGTCACGACCTTTACCGGTGTAGTAGTCATCAACAAATGACAAAGATAGATTGCCAAATTCTTTTCCCACCAACGCTCGTTTATCTGAAATAAATACATATCGGGTTCACTCAACCAAAAGGGAAAAGTTTCACGAATTGCTTGAGAATTTATAAATGCTACTGTGAAAAGCCTTTGCCACCGGTGAAATCTATCTTAAAGTAAAAGCTGTGATGAGGCATTCAGATCCATGAAGAAGCAGAGTCAGACTCAAACTGAGAAAAAGGTAAGAAATGAAAGGAAAAGTGTTCACGCTTATGTCTTCTATTTTTTCACATGATAGTGGGCACTAGGTTTGTAGGTACAGGCTTTCACAGGGAAACTGAAGAGCGCTCGCAGTTGGCAGATAGCAACAGCTTGAATATGACGTTTTACATTCTCAAGCGTTTATGATGAGATACGAAAGGCGAATTAGGCATCGTTGGTGCTGAACTATTGTTTCGCTAGCATTCGCGAGGAATGATCTACGAGGATTGTCAGCCTTTTCGCGTAAACGATGAAATTATGTGTGAGAAAACGTACAAGTTTCAAATTGTAACAATACAAATACACAGTAAACGTAGGGAACAATTCAACCATGTCTTCACTCATTCAACTACATATGAACGCCGAATGTTGAGCCTGACTTCTCATGAGTCCCTAATCTTCCCCTATTCTGCGCTTTCGATGAAAAGGCAAAAAAAAAATATGAGAGAGAAAAAAGTGATGAGAAATTAGATATATTTATGAAGAAATACGTAACAGAAATCAAATATTAACACAACAACCCACCTCTTCTGTCAGGCAGATCGCTAATGCCCATTGTGGCGAAAACGGCACCAGGATTTCGTGGCGCGGGTTCCATGGCTCGCTTTGGCAATTGCTCGCAAAGTCGCAGCTGAGTGTTCACACGCTCCACCATCAAATCGTACTCATTTCCCATTCCAACCGACTCAAACTGAAAACAGTTTGATTGTGTATTGTAACAGACACTGCAGACAATTCAATTAACAGTTGGAAGACCTACCTTCTTCTGCTGCGCTCGCTTCTTCTTCGGCCTTGGAGGTTCCAGTTGGTCCATTAAGTGACTTCGGTGCACCCTGAGGACCACCACCCATAGAAGGCATTTGTTGCCCCATCGCAGGCTCAAGCAATCTCTTCAGCATGCCAGAACCTTCTCGAGCTGGGTCGCGTCCGTCGAAATGCATAGACACTCGACTGATAACGTCATCCAAACATTCATAGACCTGCAAAATACAGGGATTCAAGCTAAGCTAGGAGAAAGATAAATCGCAGTAAAGAGAATAACAATTATAAGGTACTTCTTTTTCGAATGGAGTCTGCAACCGCTCATAAAGGATGCCACCAAGAACAGGTGCTGGTACGCGAGTCCACATATGTGGTCTAGGAACCTAAAAAGGTCAATTATAAAGACTGATCATGGATGTTGAACCATGGGTCATCATGGAAATACAAAACAATTCTACCACGCACTTGCATCGGAGGACGCTGCATCATGTCCTGTGGGGGTGGACCACATACAGCACCGTATGGAACCTGCTGAGGTACTCGCATTTGTTGGAACTGAGGT